TTATTTAAAATAGGCATGATTTTGAGCCTGTCTCTTATACACATCTAGATGTGTATAAGAGACAGGGTTACATCCTAGGCCAATTTTAAAATTCACCATTTCCAAATTTTGGCTAGCAGTTTGGCTTGGTGAAATCAGTTTACTCCTTTCACTATTCAGCTGTTATGTAACACTGGGCTTAGCTTCCTAGCCCTGATAAACAGTTTAAACAATGGGTTAATTAATTGCTTGGCTTTCCTTAGATTAAGTGTGAAGCAAGCTCTTGAAAACGTGGTTGCAGCCTAGAAATAATGTCTATAAAAACACCAAAAACTACAAAAATACCTTGTATTTTTCCAAAAGAAAAGCAAATTTAGATTCTTCCAAACTTCTTCTTCATATCACAAGAAGGTAACCAGATTATGTAGAACTTTGATAATAAAATTTTAGATCTGCCCCTGCTGGTTCGCAAATTAATATTGAAATAGACAATGCAGTATAACTCCTTCTTTGGGCTCTCTTGTTAAAGGACACCTGTTATTATTGGGACATTCTTTCGAGCAATAAACGAGGAATAGGGGATATCTTTTTTGGTCCCAAAGATGTCCCCAAAAGGGATCTATTGTACAATAGATATACAAATAAAACATTATTTAAGTTCCATGACAAAAGGCAAATACAATTTTAAAAATAAAGGCATGTTAAAGCAATAACATTAAATAAACATATTCTAAGTCTCATTACAAAATTTGGATAAAAAGAGTTTTAGAACCAATAATAATAAAGCAATCAGCACTTCACTCATCAAACATACAGGTCTCTTTTCGTAAAATTAGGTTAAAAAATACATTCAATGAGGAATACGAACCTTCGACCTTCAGATTGAGAGTCTCATGCTCTACCGACTGAACTAACCGTGCTTGTTGTTTAAGAGAAACATTTTTTTAAATGTGGTTCTTATGCTTTAAAACTTTGATAAGAAAATTTTAGATCTGCCCCTGATACCCTTTAATTAATTTGATATGTGCATAGATATAATTCTGTTGAAAATTTTAGAAATGCAAGACGTTAAAGTAATACCTCTATAATTGTTTAGATCATTAGGATCTCCCTTTTTAAATATAGGTCTAATTATACCATTGTTCCATTCTTGAGGTATTTGTTCTAGTTGAGCGCATTTTTCAAATAAATTAAGTAGCG